CTTTGCATTATCTTGCGTCGCGTTTTTTTTTGTATTAATGTTTTCTTTTTTTTGTGTCAATGTGTTGGGTACGAAACATTTGCTGCAAAGCTGCTGCAAGTGATTGGGCTGATTACAGTTGTTTTGCAACCTCTTTTTGAATTTCCTTTTGAATAGCTGGAGTTACTACAATATTGAAGGTTGTTTGCAGACAAGGTGACTTTTGAGATGATATTAGGATATAGGAGACTATTGAGTTGATATTATGTGACATATGCTGATGCTAGATGTTGTTGATGTGTATTCAGAGGGCAGTGGCTGAGGTAGTGTAGTTCCTGGTACTAGATTTGATGATGGTACTATCAAAGATTCTGATTGTTGAGATGATGAAGGGTCAGGTTCAGATGTCGGTGTTCAAACGTATTAGATTTGATTTTTTTGCAGGTGGCTGAAACATTCTTTTGATAAGTTGCTGAACTTTGTCTCTGCAGAAAAATGTTGAAGTAATTTGAGCCTAACTCTTTTGACATCGCAATAAACACAAACATCTAGTGGCTGCAGAATGTGCGACGAGTGAGCTGGTAAGCAAATTAACAAGATATTGTTTTTGATGCATATAAGTACGACCGAGAAGAGATATGTGTCACATGTCACGAGAAGAGACATGTATCACATGTCACGAGAAGAGATATGTGTCACATGCCACGAGAAGAGATATGTGTCACATGTCACGAGAAGAGATATGTGTCACATGTCACGAGAAGAGATATGTGTCACATGTCACGAGAAGAGATATGTGTCACATGTCCATCTACAACTAAAATCTACAACTAAAAAAATTTGTTAATGCAAAATTAGATAAATATAATTAGATAACTAAAATTAGATTGAACTAATTACCTGGAGTTTTCTTAAAGGCGGAAACATACAGGTTAGTGAGCCACTGCGCAAATTGCTTATCTTCCATCCATCCAGATGGAGATATGACGAATATTGCTTCATTTAGACCACTTGAAACACCAATCTCTGAACAGACGTTTTTTTGATTTGAAAAAAATGTATGGAGCTAGACAATTACCAGCTGCATTAATGCAATTTCCAACTGTATAATGGATTTTTTCATTGTTGTCAACCAATTTTAATGGTCGTTTTACACCACTCCGGCAAACTATAGGTTGCTTACCTTGATCACCAGAAAAGCCAGTTTCATCAAAATTCCACAAATGACATGGAGTACTTTTGTTTATACCTGCTACGTTGAATTTTCTTTGCAGTGTGTTGAAATACTTTTCTACTACTTCTTGCGTGAACCGCATGAAGCGGCTCTGAGTTTTGAAATATTGCCTATGGCTGTGATGCTCAAACTTTGATTCCACCGGTTTATGAAAAGTTTATATCAATCTCTTCCTGGTGTACCAATTAGGAAACAAACAAGACTGACCTTGATGTTGCAAATAGTTGGTAACTAGTGTGATGATGTTATTGTAAGTTCTACCAAAGCCCCAATCGGATAATTTGATGAGCGTATCTACCAGAACTGATTCAATATGTATTGACAACCTCGTGCTTGAACTACTGCCAATTGTTTCACCTATGCCGTGGACACGCCTGTGAATAGTTGCTACTGGTATGCTGAATGATTTAGCAGATTTGTTATGTGAAAATTCACCACTTTGTATTCTGGCCATCATTTATTGGACACTTGATACCTAATAAAAAAAGGCCGCTTTTAATAAATAAGCTATTGCTTTGTATTTATTTATTTATTAGCTTATTTCATTCTAGCCCACAACACTCCGTTTCCGTTTTTAACTCATACCTTTTTTCCTTAATAGCAAATTTAATTTTGAAAAAAGATTCTTGATACCGAGTTTAATTTCCGAGAGTTTTAAGTTCCCTTTTCAAACAAATAAAAAAAAATCTTATTACGCATTCGAAAACTTATAAATTTATTACAAATTTTTTTTTATTAATAATCAAATTTTATACAACCTTACTCAGAAAAATATTTTCTACTATGTAATCAAAAAATATTTACAAAAAAATTATTCAATAGTTAATTAAGAGCGAAAGAGTAAACTTAATTTTACCCTGTTTCACTCTATAACGCATGACTCAATTAAAACACAAAATTATTATTATTTTTTTGTAATAACTTAATTTTTTAGAAGAAAATTTACTTTAGCACTAATAAATAATAATATTTTTGCTTTACAATGTCTTTGTATATTTTCTTAAACATTTTATATTTTAATCGGAGAAATAACCACCATATTTATTGTATTGTCTTTGCAAAAATGATGCATTTAAACAATAAATAGCTATCATCAAATTGTATTTTTATGTGTCTTACTAGTGCATTTTAATTTATAGTAAGGCTAAAGACCTTCAGGCATGGGTGGGGCACGAGAAGGGTGTTTTAAATGTGTTTTTAAAATACAAATTCGGCTTTCAGTTAAGTTTAGTATAAATTCGAAATAACGTATATGATCTAAATTCGACTTCACCGGTCTTTAATTAGTATAAACAAGAAATAAATCTAACATATAGATAATATATATAATCTAATATAAATAAATATATATATATGTATATATATATATATATATATATATATATATATATATATATATATATATATATATATATATACATATATATATATATATATATATATATATATATATATATATATATATATATATATATATATATATATATATATATATATATATATATATATATATATATATATAGAGAGAGAGAGAGAGAGAGAGAGAGAGAGAGAGAAAGAGAGAGACAAATTAAATATCAAACCACTCTCATTATCGTCTATCTGTCTGAACGTACATCGGCTAAACTAAATCTGTCAAATACTATCTACAATATTGATGCTATTTATCGATTAAATTCAATCATTCCATTAAACTTTTTTTTTTTCTAATTATATGAACTAAGTAATAAATCGACATGATGATATTTCACTCAAGAGTATCCAAGTAACTGTCGAGGATATATCAGATCACTACATGATTCGGGTAGAACTTTATCATCAACCTTCAAATACTAAAACTGTTTGGTTTTCAAAACAAAACCTTAGAAAACTAAACTTGTCATGCTTTATAAAAGAATTGCAAGTGATGCCATGTTGCTTTTCACCTAAAAACAACGTGGTTGATTATGCTGAACAAATAAGATCAAGTATAACAACTGTTCTTGATCATTTAGCACTCATTCGAAATATTCAATGCGACTTGGTAAACATGATGATAAATGGTTATTTTCAGATGTTAAGAATAAAAAAATCAGAGTTTATCAGATAAAAAATTATATCGAACTGCATGCCGTGAGGCAGCAACAGCAATTCCTAAAAAATCAGGACTAGCAGAATCTGACCTTACAAATCTACGTCCCATACCAAACTCAGTACAATTTCAAAAATTCTTGAAAAGCTTGCTTTATCTCGACTTCATCCACACGTAACATCATCTTTCAACTTTAATCCTCTAGAATTTTTATCCTCTCTGGTTTTAGATCTTGCAATGACAAAGATATGCAATGACATCCTACTAAATATTGATGATGGTTTGACCACTATTCTCCTATCTCTGGACATATCTTTAGCATTTGATACTGTCGATCACAAACTACTGATTACTTGTATTAAGAATGAATTATCACAGATATTGCATTAAAATGGCTAACATCATACTTGCACTCTTGAAAATTTTTTATTTCTATTGAATCATTAAATTCTAGACTATTAGCAAGTTCAACGGGAGTACCACTGGGTAGCGTATTAAGCCCATTTCTATTTTTCCATGTTTATTTCACCTATATATCGTATTATAGCTAATTTGGTACAAATCATCATCAATATGCTGATGACCCAACTTTATACTTTCCTCAGCCCTGGCAAAGATAGCATCAACAAAATCACTGCTAATGCAGTAACAATCCAAATAAAACTGAAGCTATTTTATTTGAATCTAAAAAACAAACTAGCAAATATTAAAATGATTCAAGTATTGCGTTTTCAAGAACCACACTAACTACAATAAATTCAGTGAAAATCCTTGGAGTCACCTTGATTCAAGGCTCTCTATGGACAAGCACATAAACAACATTATTAAATCCTGCAATTACCACATTCGTGCGCTTTGCCACATTCGTCAATGTCTGACCAAAGAAGCCGCATACATATATATATATATATATATATATATATATATATATATATATATATATATATATATATATATATATATATATATATATATATATATATATTAATGGATTGAATCATTTTACTACATAGCCAGTTTTTTTTATTTTATACTTAAGCTTTTCTTATTTATAATTATAAAAAACATTATAAAAAATATATAAAGCTGTTTAACAAAAAAAATAAACGGTTTTTTAAATACTTGAATTGTTTTTCCGTTTTGCACAAAAACGATGAATGATGTCATGTGTAACAGTTATTAAAAAGATTTAATAGTTTTTTGATTAATAATATATTTCCTTATTTAGTAGGACGCGGTGGACCGCGACACTAAGCGTCGCATTCTCTAAACTTCCCTAATTTCCCAAAACTTCCCAAACTTCCCAAAACTTCCCATACTTCCCAAACTTCCCAAAAACATTTCCCAAACTTCTGAAAAATTTACGGAGCGCTGTAACTGTAACTTGTAACGAACCAAAAATTAAAAAAAAAAAAAAAGCTACCGGCTTTTTAGTAATTTAAATTTTTTTGTTTACATTTTCCCTAATCTTATCATTTATTCATCATGTTATTTTGGCAGCTAACTGATAGTAATAGTTTTGCTAGTAAAATTTTTTTCTAGTTTGAACAATTTTTATTGAATTATATAAACATCTAGTATAGCAAAATGTTACCAAAAGTAAAGAGTTTTCACAACTGAACGGGAATAGTGAAAATATTTATACAATAGAATTATGAAAATATATAGTATAAAATGTATACTTTATATAATATAGTGATACCTATTTTCAAATTTTTTTAGTAGGAGGTTTTTATATTATTAAAAATGGACTGGAAACCATTTCTTTATGGTGGTCTTGCATCAATGACGGCAGAGCTAGGTAAAACTGTAATGTCTACGATTAGATTTTAATATTATATATTTAAAATTTTAAGAATAACAACCTTTTAAGTTATAGTAAGGGCTGATTATGGAAATTTAACAAGGCTTAACTTGCTTTATACTCCATATTGTATAAATTCTATTATAGAGTTAGTAATAATAAGTTTCTATTATTAATAATAGAAACTTATTATTGCCACCTCGTAATAAGAATAATTACCATTAAACTATTATTAAATTTGAAAATTAATTCTCTTTTTATTTATTTTATTTATTGTTTATTTTAATTTTTAAGTTTTCTGGTTAATAAAGCAAAACAAATTTTTTATGCTGCATAAAGAAACATAATAAAATATTTTTGTAGTCATTTAATTGATTTTTAGACAATTAAAGTCATTGTTATACTAAAGGACTCTATTAGGACATATCTCTTTTTTAATCTATATGGAAAATTTCTAATAAATTTTATGTGTTTTGGTAATAAGGAATCGTACTAATTATCGAAACAAATAAAATTTATTAGAAACATGTCCTGAAACCACTATTGATATAAAACTTGCCACGTTTTCATGGCAAGTTTTATATCAATAGTGGTCTCAAGACATGAACAATATATACGTGAAGCCATACAAAACTTATATAGTTATACTATTTAATGTATAAAACCTCAGGTTTTTGCTTAATTATAAAAAAAGATATAAGAGAGTGATGTTCATGAAAATTATTTGGTTTTTGGCAACAACTTTTTTCAATGTTTATTTAATGGTCATCAAGCAACAACTTTTTCTAATGTTTATTAAGTCAAATAATTTTTTTAACAAACCTTTTAAACTATTTTTTTAAGTATATTTTCTATATTTGAATTAAAAAATTATTAAAGAAATTTTCATTTTGTTTCAAAAAGGCACTTTTCCAATTGATACTACTAAAACTAGATTGCAAATTCAAGGTCAGGTTATAGAGGCATCACTTAAACAATTGCGATACAAAGGCATGTTTCATGCTGTTTTTAAAATATCAAGAGAAGAAGGCATTCAAGCTTTATACAGTGGTATTAAACCAGCTTTATTACGCCAAGCCACTTATGGAACAATAAAAATTGGTCTTTACCATTGGATTAAAACAATCTTAGTTAATGATCCAAAAAACCAGACTTTACTTTCAAATATGATTTCTGGTGTATCTGCAGGAGCTATTTCATCTTCAATATGTAACCCAACTGATGTTCTGAAAGTTCGGCTACAATCTAAAACTCACTCATCTCATTATCCACCAGGATTAATTGCAAGCTTTGCTTATATTTATCAACATGAAGGTTTTCGAGGATTGTACAGGGTAACCTATGCTAATATGTTTTTCATTTTTTTAACACAAATATTGTTTAAATATTTGTTGTAATATAGTTCAAATATATTGTATATATTCTCATAACCTTTAGGGTGTTGGAGCTACAGCTCAGCGTGCTGCAGTTGTTGCAGGATTAGAATTATCTGCGTATGATTACACAAAAAAATTGTTGATTGATCATAATTTGCTTTCTGACAATGCTGCAACTCATTTTCTGTAGGTATAAAATATTTTAATTAGATGTATTCTTTTAGTTTATCTGTCTAATCTTATTATAGATGTAAATGCCTATGTGTATTATTTATTATCTACATTTATATTATTTTGAATTCTAATTTTTTATTATTTTTCTTTTTTATTCTTTAATTCTTTTTATTCTTTTTTTACAGTTTTTTTTTTTTTTTTTTTCTTTTGCACTTTTTTACTTTTAATTGTATTCTTATATTTAATCTTAGATGTTTTTTTTTTGTATTTTGTGTCATTTATTTTAATTTATTTATGATATTTTTTTTGTATTTATATGTTTTTTGTTTTTATTATTTAGTGCAAGTTTTTTAGCTGGATTTATTGGAGCTTTGGGGTCAAATCCAATTGATGTGATCAAGGTGCTATATTGTGATTGATTTCAATTGGAATTTTAGTTTCAAAATTTGGGAAGTTTAGCAGTACTTTCCACAGAAAACATGCTTACTAATTATTTTACCACATCTAAGAACAAAAACTTTTTGTCTAAAAATTAAAAAAATTGTTAGTTTTTATATTGAATAATAATATTTATTTTAATTCAATTGTAAAGTTTCTTCAAATTTATGTTCATTTATGTGTGTATGTTTTAAGACTCGAATGATGAATCAAGAAATCAGTCAATCCGGTGTTAAAAATATAATTTATAGAGGAAGTTTGGATTGTGCATTGCAAGTAATTGTTTTTATTCCATTAATAGAAAAACCGTGTTCTTAATAATTAGTTTATTTGGTTCATTATTTTGTTTTTAATGAATAAATATTGTTATTAAATTTTTTTGTTTCAGACAATACGTTATGAAGGTTTTTTCGCATTGTACAAAGGATTTGTACCGACGTTTGTAAGATTAGGTCCATGGAATATTATTGTATCTTTTCTGTTATTTTTTTTTTACAATATAAAGAAAGTAATTTAGTAAGAAAGTAATTAAAAAAGAATTTAAAAGAATGTAACCCTACAGTTAGTACTTAAAAGTTGGTTGCTTTGTTTTGCAAATGATTAAATGAGATAATTATAGTAATTTTTTAGATATATTTGTGTAAGACATGTTATTTGGACAGTTTTAACTTAAGTTCGACTTAAAGGCTGCTTTTTTTTAACTTTTTTCAAGAAAACACTGTATAGTAGGATAACTATGCAAAGTTGTGACAAAAAAACATTGCACATAAACAATATGAGTGGAGTACTAGCAGAGGTTTTATTAAAATTAGAACTTCTTGTTTATGAAGTCAATGTTCTGCCACTTTTTTGGATAGAATATTTAATTTATCTTAACGAATATTTTATTTATCTTAATTTTATTTATCACAGTTTTATATTTACTTATTCTTTACTAGTTTTTTCACTTGTTTAATCTTATTTTAATGAATTTGTTGTTTTGTACACATTGTACAAAAAATCACTATTCTAAACAAAAGTATTCTAAATAAAATGGTAGATTTTTGTAAATAGAACATAGTTGTTCAATGATGTTCTAGAATATCTAAAGATTTTTTTTTCTGGCTCATTCTTTGTAGCTTTATGATGTACAATCAAGTTAGTACATTTTTTTCAGAACCTATTTTTGCTATAAAAGGTAAAGTCTACTTGCTTTAATATCTGAAATTAAAAATTCTAAAAGCATGATCAAAATAATATTATTAACACAACATAATTATTAAAAAAAGCAACCAACAGAAAGTAATATTTTCTTTGTCCATTTTTAGGACTAAAAAAGAAATTTATTTTTTTATAATTAATTAAATTATAATCAATTGGTCTAATATTTGAATAAATAATAGGTTTCAGTATATAGAAAGAAAAAGTAGAATTAACTCAAAAATTTTATTTTTATGACTTAGCGCGTTTTGTAGATGGGCTCTTAAAAATTAAAAAATTAGCTGCGTTAATATAAATATGTTCTTAATTATTTTCAACGTATTTATTTATAACTTATTTATTACAAATTTATTTATAACGAATTTATTTATAACGTTTTTGTTTATATTTATTTAATTTATTACTTTTAACTTGTTTATTATTTATTTATAAAATATTTATTTGTAACTAATTTATAAGTAATTATAAATAAGTACTATAAATAAATAATAAATAAGTTATTAATAAATAACGTATTTATAACGTATTTATTATGTTATAAATACGTTATGAATAACGTATTTATAACGTATTATTTTGTACTGCTATACTTTTTTTTTTGCTTTAATTTAGTTTACAATATAACCCTTAACGTATTATAGTTTTTTATGTCTTATGAACAGTTCAAAATTTTGGAAAAGAAAATAAAGGAACCGTAATAATCCTAGACTTCTCCTAAGCTTTTTAAAGTTTGGTAACGAAATGGCTAATTTATATTGTACTTGAAAGATTTTTTAATTTTTTTTAAAGATTTATAAAGAAACATTCTGAGTATTTATTAAAAAAAAATTACGATATTCTTTTCAAGTGTCTTTAAAAATAGACAATTTGAAATCAAATATAAGGGGGCTTTAATCTATATATGGACATCTCTTTTTGAGCTCCAAAATAAGTTTTGATGAAATTTAATAACTAGTTCTAAATTATAAACTTATTTTTAGTAAAATAAACTTTTTTCTTTAAAAATCTCCTGTAACCAGGTAATCACTAGGTACGTTTTTTTAAGGGTTTATTTGTTCCTGTGATTGACGATTGACGTCATGTTTTGCAAACTATTATCAATTTAATAGACATGAGCGCAGAAAAAATTCCAATTTTTCCCTTGCTTTACGGAAACAATTTAAGTCTGAAAAAAATTTCGCGTCTCTAAAACTATATTTCTTCTTCTTGGTTCAGCTACTTATTATATAAGGGGTCGTCCACAAATTACGTCACGCAATTTTTGACCGTTTTTGACCTCCCCTCCTCGTCACAATATCGTAACACTTTCATAGCAAGTTTTGTATGAATTGTCAAAAAATCACTAATTAAAACCTTCCCCCTTAGAGCGTGACGTAAATCAATAATAATCAATTTGCAAAAAATAATAGAGTTAAAATATCTTAACCTTATGTAGGTCAAGAGTCCAGTCAATTTTTCCCTACCTGTACAAATTGAATTAAAAATAACCATTCTAACAAGTGGTAAAAACAATTGAAAAAAAAAGAATTTTATCAGAGTTTAATTCATGTTAGGTATTAAATTGGAGAATAAAGTCAATTCGACCAAAAACTTTAAAACTTAAGTACAGGTGGGTCTATCAAAACCACCACTATTATAAACATACGGAAACTATTCCTTTACTAAGCTTGCAAGATGATGCTCTTTGTCTGCATACATGTTTTTTGAAGCTTTATTAAGTTGCAGAATCAAAAATTTATAGAATGTCGTGTACTGCTTGAAATGACCAAACAGCAATTGACGTGTCTTTTAATTTTTCTAATAGAGAGACTGGCTTACGTTTACTTCGTTTACACACACTCAAACATAAAGGATAAAGAAGGGTCCGATCGTCCCATCGCTATCCCTTCTCCTTCGAATCCGCTCCTGACATTCTAGGCCTAAAAATATACCCTCTGACAAAACCAAAAAACAGCATGTAGCCAATTCTCATAGTTATCTTTAGATTTCAAATTTTAGCCATTTAGATATAATTCGGCAAAGTTATAACAATTTAAGTTAAGAAAAACAAAATTTTAAACAAACCCATATATCAAAAACTTGTTACTTAAAACCCGATAACTTTTAGAACTTAACTTTTTTTTTTAATTTTTTAACTTAAGAACTTTTTTTTTTCGATAATCTAGAATTCAATAGAATTAAAATTTAAATGAACTAAATAGAATTTAGAATAAAATAGAATTTAACAATTTTTAAGTTTTTAATTTAGAATTTTTTAATTACGATAATTGTGTAATTATTTTATTTTTAAAATAAAAAACAAACTCCTAACTGATCATTTAAATTTACTTATTAAAGAGGGTTTTCATATAGGAAAAAACTCTTATTTTTATTTTTAAATATAGAAATAACGACCAAAAAAATTTTTTTTTAAATAAAACCCAGCATAGCATAATTATTATCCAAGTTATTAATCATACTGCAAGGTTCTACGCTTTGAAAAAAACTTAGTAAAAAAGTTAATAGACATAAATTAACTTTAGATTATTTATATGGCAAGAAAAATTACATATTTTTGGTTCTTAAAAAAACTGCCTTAAAAATTAAGTAAGAAATAAGTAAATAAACAAAAATAAAACGATAATAGTAACAAGGGCATGCAAAATACCGGATTTTACTAATGTTTGCAATACTACAAATACTATTATACCAGTATTAAATACAAAATTAAAAAAAAAACTATTTTTAGCTGTTGTCAATTATTTTACCAAGTTAACATAAAGTATCTAGTGATTTACTATCGAAACTTGACTTTATTTTGATACAAACAAGCCAGCAGCTGAAATGAAAAAATACATTTACAAATGAAAAAATACTTTTCACCCTGCATTCGTTTTTCTTAAATGTTTATGAGCTGGTGTGCCAATAGTTAAAACTATAGTTTGCATAGGGTTTCCTTTATCACTTTTATGTGCTTTAATGCATCCATATTATCTAGGTGGAACAGCCTCTATATAGAGGCTGCCTCTGTATAGAACTTATGATAAAATATGTATAAAGAAACTCTCTATGGACTCCTCTAACTATTAAAATAATCTCTATTGCGGCATTGAGGCTACGAGGGACTCACAACATTCGGATGTTATTTTATAACACTATGCTCTTATTATAGCTTTTCTCAAATCTGCTTGTAAATTTGGATTTTGTTTAGTGACTTCTGGTTTTATTTTTGCTCGACAATTTTTAACGGGAATCAAATCTGGTAAACTACATATTGTTATTCCCACAATAAATAAACCAAGGAAAATAACTACAATCTCTTCTAGGTTAATTGACAATATAAAATAATTGTGTTTTTACTGGTATAAGTACAACAGACTTGATTATTTACAATTATGATTACTAACTATATAAAAATTTCGAATTTCTTTCGAATTTAAAATATAGAAGAAATAGACCAATGAAGACTCATCACAACATTAATTCCAAAATATTTGAAAAATCGTTTCCTGAGAAAATTTTTTTTATTAATACCAATATATTCTTAATACTATAACTATAAAACTTTAACAATATATTTTTGAAAAAACTGAAAAACTCTATAAAAAACTTACTGTTCAAAGCTATTTGAAAAAACAAATGAAAGTAATAATAACGTGAATGTTAAGGGAAATTATTGACAATAAAAAAATAATCAAAAATAGTAGTTTAATATAACGTAACACTTTAATAGAAGAAAATTGGAACTATTTATTTACTAATATCTTCCTTAACTTAGCTAAATAAGTTTTGTGAAGTTCTACATTATATGATTTTTATTTTAAAAAGTATGATAAAATTATGAATGAATTCAAACTAGATTTGCAATCTACTCTTGACTTAAAAACAATACATGTACAAATGTATTGATAAAACAAGCGTGACGTCAATGGACTGCACCTTCTTTTTTAAGAGAACGTTTTCAAAAATATTTATTGAGATCTTCTAATTTTAAGTCATTTTTTCGCTTTTTAAAGTTTTTCAAGTAGAGTTTTTTTTACAGTTGAAAATAAATTTTTCTATGGGTATCATTTTTTTATTGGTACAAAAAACCATTTAACCAGATACAAAAACACTTTTCGTCTGTGTTTTTTACAACAAGAACCATCCTCCCCACCCCTCCCTTAAGAACAGAGGGGGACGTTTTGAAATTGTATACTCACGCCAATTTTTTTTTCACGTCTAAACTTTTTACAGGTACAAAAAACTTTTCATGTTTGGTTTTTTTATAGTTACAAAAAACTGTTTACGCGACAGCGTTCATGACAAGGAATACTATAATGTAGTATTCCTGGTCATGAACGACGGATCCGTACTAATTGTTTGGGAAACGGTTATTTGGATACCATCACCAGAATTTTAATGTTTTTGACAACTTCCTGATAAATCCTGACCGCTTGTAGTTAGGAATCAGTTTCAAGGAATCACTGGTTTCCAGAATAAAATCTGTTAGATGTTTTAGTCTGAAAGCCAATTTCAATATTTAAAATATTAGTTTCGTTGATAGAGATGCGTAAAGAACCGGTAAACAGCGGAACGAATCTTCAACAAAGTGATATAGCAACATCTCATTTGAATAGAGCGGTATCAACTTTTATGATATTCATTACAGGGTTTAATTTTTCAGGCTGTTGAGAAAAATTGGTTGACTGTACGCAACAAATTTGAAGACGTACTTGAAACTTTCACAAGAAATTTTTACATCTACTAGCCATGAGGTTTGAGTTGCGTCTCATTCAATGTGGCGATGGCGTTTTGTTCTCTCAAATTTCCAGGGTATGCTTGATCATCGACGCACTGCATCAACTTGTCAAATAAAGCTTACTGAGTATCGGGTAAGAAAAGATCTCTTTCAGCCCAGTAAACTCCTTAATCTATTAATAAATGTATTTCTTGACCTTGCATTTTTATAGTAAGTTTTGGAATGATTGCACGACCTAATTTTGCTACTAACTGAGCTTTTAAATCTGTACATCTAGTTAAAACAACTTAGTAACCAGACTGATCCGGGGACAACAACCATGTGTGGTGATAAGGAAGGAAAACGAACTAGTAAAGTAGTACCTGATAGTGATGCGATTGTTGATGGGTTAAGGTCTTCTTTAGGACCATGCTTGGTTACTAAGTCTCGATTGAGATTTCGTAAAGTTCTATAGCTACTATATAAATTTGAAGCCATTTATTTTTTTGTGGAGTATTTTTAGAGATCAGGGTTTTTTGTTTTGTTTTTTTTTGAACATTATATTTTGCCGTTGAAGAAATTTTACAACCTACATAAATTTACAAATAAAATTAATGGCCAGAGCACGATGAAGACATTATTTTTGTCTTATTGCCGAGCGCGGTGTTACAATATATATTTATTACAAAATTTTTTTCCAAGAGAATATAAACTAAAAAATAAGAAAAATGTTTATAAAAATATTAACTTTATTAAAATAAGATTTTTTTTTTTTTTTGTTGCATTTACTCCCAACAAGGCTGCAAGCAACCACTATTAAGTTGGGAGTTACTAGGAAAAAAAAGAACAGAGTTATAGAGCAAGGAAACGGTTGACAGTTGAACTTGAAAAGTTGAAGGTTGTAGGAGTCAGGAAAACATGAAGATGGGAGAGAGTTCCAAAGGATTGAAGTGCGGGGAAAAAAACTAGATGAATAAAAGTTTTTAGAGCATGCTGGGACAGATACAGTAAACGAATGAGACTTAGCTGAATGACGAGTAAAACGAGAATGAATTTTAGTTGATGGAACTAGAGATGATAACTCCTTTGAGCAGTGACCATGA